GTTCCTGGCTCATGATGATACTTAATGAACATTTGTTGAATAGGTAATTTTTCCCCCTTAGTGTGTTATTTTCAGAATCTTTTTGGAGCTTTTGCACTTAATTTCTTTTCAGATAATTGTATATGTCAAAATCAAACTTCAGAATAAGAATTTACTGACCAGAACACCATTTAGTACTTTATATATAGGAAGGAGTAAAACCACTGGCTAAAGTGAAAAATTTTTTGTGGGTGGACACAGTGGCTCATGTCTTTGATCCTAGCACAATGGGAGGCCAAGGCAGGAGGATTGCTTGAGACCAGGAGTTCAAGACCAACCTGGCCAACATAGTGAGACCCCCATCTCAAAAAAATGAAGTTTAAAAATTTTTTAAATTAGCCGAGCATGGTGCTGTGTACCTGTAGTCCCAGCTACTCGGGAGGCTGAAGCTGGAGGATCCCTACAGCCCAGGAGTTTGAGGCTGCAGTGAACTTTGATCCTGCCCCTGTACTTCAGCCTGGGCAACAGAATGAGACCCTGTCTCTACAAAACACAGAAACAGAAACTTTTTTTTTTTTTTTTTTGTAGTAAATTCTCAATAGGTTGTCAAGGAAACTTACTGAGGAGAGCTATTTACCAGTAACAGTGTTTGCTTTGAAGTGTGGCTACAAACTAATGAGGCTTGCTTCCTTCAGCCTCATTATTGTAGTCTTAGTTCATATAGTCATGGTTGAATGTGCAAAGCAGTAACACTTGCTAGGTTTACTAATTAGTGTTTCACATTGATTGAAATTTAGAAATTGAATGCTTATACTTTGTCAGAGGTTTCCTTTTCTTTGCTTTAGCTTTGAAATATTCCTGTAAAGGTTTTTCTTTTGGACTGTAACTTCGTTGCATGGCCTTAGTCAGCCTTTGAAGCAATGCGTAGGTTTATAATGGCTGGCAAGCACTTTACCGGGAAGTGAGGGAAGAAAGACTATGTGTTGTTATTTATACAACAAGTCAGTGGAGGATTAACCCATTTTACTACTTTTTCTTCTTGAATCTTTTTGTAGTTGGATAAATATGACTTAAATGCCTTTGTCTAGAGTCTTTGGAGGGCTTTTTTTTTTTTAACCTTGTAATTTGAATTAACCACATGCTTATATTTGGGTTTATTTTCTTTTGATAAGGAATGTTTTAAAATGTAAGATTGGTCACAGTTATTGAAGAGAATGAATGTGGCACTAGTTTTATGATTTAGTAAATCACTGGCCAGGCGCAGTGGCTCATGCCTGTAATCCCAACACTCTGGGAGGCCTAGGCGGGCGGATGACCTGAGTTCGGGAATTCGAGACCAGCCTGACCAACATGGAGAAACCCCATCTGTACTAAAAATACAAAAATTGGCCGGGCATGGTGGTGCATTCCTATAATCCCAGCTACTCAGGAGGTTGAGGCAGGAGAACCGTTTGAACCTGGAAGGCGGAGGTTGTGGTGAGCTGAGATCATGCCATTGAACTCCAGCCTGGGCAACAAGAGCAAAACTCCATCTCAAAACAAAACTAAGGATAACCTGGAAGCTTATTCCATTGAGGTATAGACTCTGGGGGAAAAAAAGTAGCACTGACTCCCTTCAGCTTTTAAAAAATGACTGTGATTGGCTGGGTGTGGTCGCACACCTGTAATCCCATCACTTTGAGAGGCCGAGGTGCGTGGATCACCTGAGGTCAGGAGTTCAAGACCAGCCTGGCCAACACGGTGAAACCCCATCTCTACTAAAAATACAAAAAACTAGCTGGACATGGTGGCGGGCGCCTGTAATCCCAGCTATTCGGGAGGCTGAGGCGGGAGAATCACTTGAACCCAGGAGGCAGAGGTTGCTGTGAGCCAGGATTGCGCCACTGTACTCCAGCCTGGGCAACAGGAGCGAAACTCCATCTCAAAAAAAAAAAAAAAAAAAAAAATACTGTGATTGCAAAACTAGTTTTTTTTAATTGAAATGAAATTCACATAACATTAGCCATTTTATTTTTTATTATTTATTTATTTATTTTTTGAGATGGAGTCTCGCTCTGTCGCCCAGGTTGGAGTGCAATGGCCGGATCTCAGCTCACTGCGAGCTCCACCTCCCGGGTTTATGCCCTTCTCCTGCCTCAGCCTCCCGAGTAGCTGGGACTACAGGCGCCTGCCACCTCGCCTGGCTAGTTTTTTGTATTTTTTTTAGTAGAGACGAGGTTTCACCGTGTTAGCCAGGATGGTCTCGATCTCCTGACCTTGTGATCCGCCTGTCTCGGCCTCCCAAAGTGCTGGGATTACAGGCTTGAGCCACCGCGCCTGGCCACATTAGCCATTTTAAAATGAACAATTCATTGGCATTTAGCAATCACCATTTCATATCTATTTTCTGAATACTTTCCTCTTCCCCAAATAAAGCCCTGTACCTGTTAGGCAGTTGCTACTCGTTTTCCCCTTCCTCCAGTTCCTGGTAACCACCAATCTGGTTTCTGTTTCTCTGGATTTGCTTATTCTGTGAATTTCATATATATGGAATCATACCATATGTGACCTTCTGTGCCTGGCTTCCTTCACTTAGCATGTTTTCAAGGTTCATCCATATTGTAGCATCTGTCAGTAATTCGTTTTTTTAATGGCTGAATAATATCCCATTGTATGTATAGGCCACATTTTGTTTATTCATTCACTCTTATTGGATATTTGAGGTTTTACCTTTTGGTTATTGTAAATAATGCTGCTATAAACATTTGTATGGAAGTATCTGTTTGAGTACCTGTTTTTAGTTCTTTTGGTTACTTACCTAGCAGTGGAGTTACTAGATCTAATGGTAACTTTATGTTTAACTTACTGAGGAACAACCAAATTGTTTTCCACAGTGGCTGAATGAAGCATTGTACATTCCTATCAGCAGTGTACGAGGATTCCAATTTCTCTGCATCCTTGCCAGCACTACTTATGCTGTGTTTGGTTGATTGAATTATAGCTATCCTAGTGAGTGTGAAGTAGTATCTCATTTTGGTTTTACTTTGCATTTCCCTAATGACTAATGATGTTGAGCATCTTTTCATGTGCTTATTAGCCATTTGTATATCTTCTCTGTAGAAATGCTGTTTATCTTTTCGTTGTTTTAAATACTGTACCTGTATTAAATATAGAATTTGCAGATATTTCCTCCTGTTGTGTAGGTTGTCTTTTCACATTCCTGATTATGTCCTTTGTTACACAGAAGTTTTTAATTTCAGTAAAGATCAATTTATCTTGTTTACCCTTCTGTTGCTCATGCTTCATATCTAAGAATTTGGCATATTTGCCAAATTCAAGATCATGACAGTTTACTCCTGTGTTTTCTTCTAAATGTGTTATAGTTTTAGCTCTTACGTTTAGATTGTTGGTCTATTTTGATTTTGTATAAGGTCTGAGATAGTCCAATGAGAGGATTTTTTTTTTTTTTTTTTTTGAGTTAGGGGTCTCACTCTGTAGCCTAGGCTAGAATGCAGTGGCTTGATCATAGCTCACGGCAGTCTCAAACTCCTGGGCTCAAGCAGTCTTCCCAAGTAACTGAGACCACAGGTGTGCACCACTAAGTCTGGCTAAATGTTGTATTTTGTTTTGTTTTGTTTTGTTTTTTTTGTAGAGATGAGGTCTCATCATGTTGTCCAGGCTAGTCTTGACCTCCTGGGCTCAGGCAGTCCTCTTGCCTTGGCCTTCCGAGGTGCCAGGATTACAGATGTGAGCCATCACACCTGGCTCTTATAGTACCTTTTAACTGAGTATATGTACATATCAACCAAAAACTGTGGATTTCATAGTATTTTAAATTATTTTGCATTGTATTAATCAAAGCAGAACTTAAAATATACTTGAAAAATAGTACTTGTAAGTTTAAGACAATTTTTCAGTCCATGGCTTATACACAAGTGACTGAATATGGATTCATGGATTTCCTTCCCATAACACCACGATCTTCTATGAATCTACAGATCACATATTTTGTAGATGAGCATCAGAAGAATCTCTTATGACAGGGAAAAGAGAGACTGAGGATGAAGGTAGAGTTTCCAAGGGTCCATAGCTGCAGAGACCTCAAGGAAGAAGCTGGGGATAACTGGAATGTCATTAACTAGAAGGCAGTGGTGGAATCTGTAAGGGCCAGAGAGGAAGTAGCATTTCATTTGAGGCAACAAGGATGGTTGCAGAGTTTGGTTTGTAGGCTCACAGGTCATCATCAGAAAGTAATGGTTTAGGGAGCAGTTGAAGATTCCTTTACTTCCTTTGGAAATAATGCCAACTCAACTCAGCCTCCAAACAGGGAGTCCAACTGACTTTGTTTAGCATCTTTCCTACAGAGAGGGATAAGGAAGGAAAAGGAACTAGGCAAATTCTAGATTTTTATTTCAACTCTGACCAGAATGCTGGCTGAGTCTTTAAAAAAAAGTCCGGTTTTATTTTAGCTGAAAATGTGATGAAAGGAATTTTTCTACTTCTCATGTGGCCAGGAGAATTAGGGTCCCTTAGAGTTTAGGGTGGTGTATTGTATTGGCCTGTGGCCATCTGATGGAGCAGGAACTGGGATACAGCTCCCAGTTCATGAGTGAGAAACTTGGTGGGGAAGTGTTGGATCACAATGGCAATCATGGTCAAGGGCCTTCTGTCTTCTGGCCAGCTTTTTCAGTGCTGACAGGCTTATCAGTGACAATCTTCTTTTTTTTTTAAGTCTTTTTTTCACTTTGTCAGGTCTGTGTCCAAAGGGCAAAAGGAACAAGGAGGGGATAAATGAGCAGGTGATTGAGCGTCTGAGGGGAGTGTAGAGATAATGGTCTTCAGATGCCCTTCTGCTTTTACTGGCTGATTGCCTATTTTTTCAAATAGAAACAAAAGCTACTTTGCAAGAAGTGATTTGGGAAGGCATAAACAAAGAATGGGTCTTGGTTACTTTGATGTTTGTGGTGTTTAAACTCTGAATTTGTGTGGATGTGTCTTTTTGAATTTTTAACCCCCCCCATGCAACCTTTGTGACTTAACAGGTGCTACTTGTGAGCAGTAGTCGCCATCCAGACAGATGGATTGTCCCTGGAGGAGGCATGGAGCCTGAGGAGGAGCCAAGTGTCGCAGCAGTTCGTGAAGTCTGTGAGGAGGTATGCATGGAGAAGAGAGAGCACAGCTATGCCTCGTCATCATGAACCTGTCGTATCTGTGTAGTTCTTTAATAGATCAGCACTCACTGAATAAATGTACAGTCACAGAAAAAGGGCAATGAATGGTTACCCGGTCCCTCCTTTATTACCGTGTGATGGAGTTGTGACATGGTAATGTTAACCAGGCACTCTATGCCAGACTTCCCATGACTTTTTATGCCAGACTTTTGTGACTTCCCATGGATTTCTTCCAACACTGCCTATTACCTGTGGCACAAAATCAAGAAGCAAATCGTTCCTCACCTCTAAGGAGTAAGAGGAACAGGCAGCATTAGTATAAATGACTCATTGTCATTAAGCTTTGGAGGAGGCCCTTGTTTTCATGTGCTTACTGCATCCTAGCCATGGAACTGTGGCTAAAGCAGTGACTCTGTTAGCCAGATACTGTTAATGGTACAACTTGAGAGATAATAGTATCTTCTCTTTTATTTAGTCACAAGATGTTCCACATACATGTGTTGAGTTTCTGGGCCATGATATCCTACTAGATACTCCAGAATAAATAGAAGAAATAAAGTCATGGACCCTTAGTTCTCTTATTTCAAGAATTTACAGTCTGGGGGAAACTGAGAAACAGATTGCAATTCAAAACCCAGAGAAACGAACTATTGTTTTCCCATAGCCTCTTGTGGTGACACCATGCTCTGCTCTTCTTGTTATCTCATTTAGGACTCATAACTCAGTTGTGTAAGCTTTATTGCCACAGTTTACTTGCCCTGGTCACATAGGTAGTGCTTTTGAAATCCATTTCCTTGTTCTAGAGGGAATTTAAGATTGATTCTAAGAACATATAAAAAAGCACTTACAGCAAGTCTAATTTCTGTGTTTCTTTTGGATCCAGCTTTTGGTGAAGTGCACTTAGAATAATCTTACCCTTGGAATATCCAAGGAAGTCTTAGTTCTCGCTCTGAATTCCTACACTTACATTGGCTTATGTTACTGTCGTTGTAGCATCTATCTTACACCCATAACTAAATTGTTCTCTCTGAGGGCAAAAATCACGTTTCCCATCAAAAATCCTTACTTTCCGTGCCTATTACACAGCTAGGTGAACAGAAAGTAATTAATATATGCTTCTTTGATAGATGGAACAATGGTTGGAACAATGCAGATGCTGAAGAAATACCCTAAATGGAAATTGTCAGAGTATAGAAAGTGATAAACATTGACAGAGAGGATATGAGAAGGCATTCTTACAGGAGGCTAACCCGCTTAGAACCAAATGGAATCAAGAGAGGGTGTAATGAAGAGAACATTGACGTGGGAATCCTGGTTTCTGTTACTGTCAGTTAATGACTGTGTGACCTATGAGAAAATAACTTTAAACACCCTGGACCTTTGTCCTTCATTTGAATATCTTCCTTTTTACTCCATCGTGGAGGGAGGGAGGGGAATATGAGGTTCAAATGAGAACATGAGTATGAATATCCTTTGTGAATTATGTATCACTCTACCACGTAGGATGTATGCAGCTGAAAATAATATTATGCCCATTACTGTTCTGTAACAGGCTTATTATATCACAATAAGTCGTCCCAGGTTGGCTGACTCAGCAGTATTAAGAACCCAGGTGCTTCCCGTCTTTCTGTTCTGCCATCCTTGGTACATTGGCTTTTGTTTGCGGGCTTGTCTCCTGTGGTGACAAGATGGCTATCACAGCTCTATCCTTACACATTCTTTTCAAATGTAGGGCACACAGTTTTACCTCATGGGTCTCTTTATTTGAGAGAAAAGAAATTTTCCCCAGAAGGTCCCCCAGCGGACTCTTTATGTTGGTGTTCCAGAGTTGCTTCGCATGCTTGTGCTTAAACTTCCTGGCAAAAGGTATATCAGTTCCATGTTTAAACTACTAGAGCCTTCACCGTCTAGGATTTGACTTTGAGAAATCTCTTAGACTTTAATTTAAAGCAATTGAAAAGCATGACCAATAAGAGAAGATAAAATGTTTATTTTGTTAGAAATTTAACTTATATTGGAATGTGCCAATACATGTTTACTCTAAAAAAAAATGAATAGATAATATATAATTTTAGAGTGAGAAAAAATTTATTATACAGGCCATACAGTCTCTGTCACAGCTACTTAACTCTGCCATTATAGGGCAAAAGTAACCATAGACAGTAAAATACATAAACAAATGGGCACGGCTATGTTCCAGTGAAGCCTTATTTATAAAAACTGTGGTGAACCATAGATAATGCCTGGTTTAAGCTCTTGCTACTCAGAGTGTAATTGATGGACCAGCAACATCAGCATCAGCCAGGAGCTTGTTAGAAATGGAAAATCTCAGACCCCAACCCAGATCTACTGTATCAGAATCTGATTCTAATAGGACCTCTGGTGATTTTGAGATCCTACTGCCTTAGAGTATTGAATTCTTACCAGTGAGTGTTCTGAGAATTCTTCCTGATGAATCTGTGGAGAGAAATGCTCTTTGAGGGATGGACTGTGGTTTGGTGGTCTCCACACCCATTCCAATGACTCTTCTGACATGGAGAGATTAGAAAGCTAAAAAGTACTTTTCCTAGACTCAGGTAAGGAATGCAACTAAGTCTCCTTGATGATATTTAGATATCCCCAATACAAAGCACTTGTACAAGATTGCTGTAGTCACGAGGAGGTCATGTTCTGAGAGCAGCGGGCCCATCTGTTTTGGTGGCACACATTTAGACAAAGGAGATATGGTTTTGGAATTGGCAGCTATAGTGTCAACTTCCTGATTTGGCTGGTGGCTTTTATTTGGCAGCTTCCTGATCCACCCCAGAGACAGCAACTCCCTTGGCAGTCCAGTTCTGCCATGTGGTTTTAAGAATTGTTCTTGGAACCTTGGTCTGTGTTTCTTGAACTCTCCCAGTGATTCTGTAAACTGTTTTTATCCCTTATAAACCATTATCTTAAACTAATCAGGTGGAATTCTGTTGTCTGCAATTAAAAATCTTGACCCAACCAGATTCCCTGTGAATGTTAACAGCTGCTTTAGTTGTATCAGACGTTCTCCTCTGCTTGGCCATGCTAACCCATCAAGGAATTGAGGTGTCTTTGCAAAGCATCCCCCTCTAGAGAAGAGTGTCCAGTGGCCCGTGAGAGAGGTGTCTGATCTACAGTGTGTCAGTAGTTTAATCAGGCAGACCTGTTTCTGTGGGAGAATGAAGCTGTGACAGAATCCAGTTCAGAATCTGCACCTTCCTCATAACTGTTTACTGATTGAATGTTACTAGTCTGTTCAACAGATATTGAGTGCCTATCCATCTTGCACAAAATACTGGGCCACAAATTGGGGATACAAAAATTTGGGTTCTGCCATCATCACATGAGCTTAACGTCTCACTAAGAATACAGAGTTAATAGGAAACTATAATTTGAAAATTCAACTTTGAGGGAACAGTTTGTACAGCATGCTAGGGCACTTGTTGGCAGAGTAGCCAACTCTGGCACAACGACTGGCTCCTAGGAGAATGTCTGGATGGTTATAGACCTGCTCATTTAAGATTTTTCCATTTTGGAGGGACTTTGGGGATACAGTAGGTAGTGTGATGGTGGTCTTGTACATGATATCCCCACATAAGGGAGATTAGATAGAGGAGGGATGAAGTAGCTGGTGAGCTTTTCTTTACTGTGAAGCAGAATTGGGTTCCCACTTTCCTGTCAGACCTGGGATAATGCAGAATTAGAAGGGTGTAGACACACCCTGAAGGCCAGGTATGATTCTGTACTTTGCATCCCTAGGCCTGAGGGCACCAGAAGCTTTGCCTAATTCTTTCTGTAGGAACTCGAAGTTTGACTGTTCAAATAAGTGGTGTGGTAGGGCCCGTTGGTAGACCTAAACTGAATAATTTTGATTTAAATCCAGTTGGCTTCTGTAGGTTCTAAGGTGCTTAAGGCAAAAATAGTATTTGAGAGTGACCATGCTGTTGTGGATTCAGACAGATTGTTACAAGACCTGAAATGGAGTGGTGGTTCTCTAGTAGAGAGAGAGGAAAAAGTTCAAAGACCTTGTGCAAAGACTTGATACTTGGTTTTGGGAGTTGTGGTTGGAATATCTCTGGCCGTTCTACTTTTGTAGAGCACATTTGGAATTTGTGTCTGTTTCAGGAAAGCTTACCTTATTTGTTGTCACTGTTGCTGTTCTGTGTTTGAGTGTTACAGTTGAGTTGTCCCTCGGTTATACAAGTGCAGCTAAGATGTAGAAAACCAGATGTTTGCAACAGGAAATGCATTGAGGGAGTAGGAAGGATATAGGGTACTGTACTTTTGTTTCCTGGAAATTGCATACTATCCTTCTATAGGTAAAAGGGAGAATAGTGTGAAATAGGAATAAAGTGCTCGTGAAACAAGGAAATGAAAAGTGCAGCACAAATAATTAAACTACACTCCTCATATGTTTAGTATCTTACCTAGCTCCTCTCTTGAAAGAATCCTGATCTTGAAACTTTATTCTCTCAGTAATACTAGAATAAAGTATGGGATATGATGATGTGATTCTTCTTTGACTGCAGGCAAGCTCTGCCTGCCATTCTCAGCCTTAAAGAATCCTTCCTGACTTTAGATCGAGACCATCCTGGCTAACGCGGTGAAACCCCATCTCTACTAAAACTACAAAAAAAAAAAAAATTAGCCGGTCGTGGTGGCGGGCGCCTGTAGTCCCAGCTACTCGGGAGGCTGAGGCAGGAGAATGGTGTGAACCCGGGAGGCGGAGCTTGCAGTGAGCAGAGATTGCACCACTACACTCCAGCCTGGGTGACAGAGTGAGACTCCGTCTCAAAAAAAAAGAAAAAAATCATAATCCTTCCTGACTTTGAGCAAATTTTTTTTCTGCAGTCAGAGGAGAATCATCTAATCTTATCCCATATTTTATTCCAGCATTATTGAGAGGATAAAAAAATGTCTGTGAACTGCTTTGAACTTTAGAATAAGTATCCAAATAAATAAAATGTACACAC